CCGGACATCCTTCGACAACCGCTTCGTTGCAGGACGTTTTGGAGAATTGGCGCTCAAAAGAGACTTGGCCCACAGCACGTTTCGTGCCAGATCCCGACACGCCCCTGAGACAGCAAGTGTCCTGCCACGCCTGTCCCCAAACAAGTTTTTGGGGACATATCAGCGGGAATGTTTTTTTGGGCCCCCTGATAAACACGTGGGATGGAGCTTGGCCAAGTGCTGGTGCAAACGCTGAGGAGGTTAGGCAACCGCTTCATACTTGGACAGTCGTTGTTCGAGAGGGGTTCAGGATGCCAAACCAGACGTGCTGTGGAGCCGAGCTTGGAGCTACACAGTTGCGGAGGGTTTGCCGGGAAGTGTCCCCAAATTCCAGGTTGTTCGGGATCCTCTGCATTGCCAATGCTGCCTCATAAGAAGTAATCATGATCGTGAGGATGATAAGGATGATGACGGTGATGATAACTACCAGCGTAGTATTTTCTGTATCACCAACGCTGCTTCATTAAAGATGATGATGATCGCGCGGATGAGAATACTAAGGATGAGAACGGTCATGATAGCATCCTCTGCATGACCAATGGCACAACTGAAATGTATAAAGAGAAGTAAAAGAAAGAGATGATGATGACCATCAAGATGATGAAGGATGATACGGATGATAAAGGTCATGGTAACTGTCATTAGCATCCTCTGCATTACCAATGCTGCCTCATAAGACACAAGGATGGCTGCGAGGATGATGATCAGGATGATCGTGAGGGTAAAAATGCTAAGGATGAGAACAGTCTTGATAACTATCATCATAGCACCCTTTGCATTACCAACGCTGCCTAACGGCACACTTGAAATTTTTGTAAATACCAAGGAAAGAGATGATGATGACCATCAAGATGATGAACAAAAGAAAGTGGTGATGATGACCATCAAGAACGGCGCGCTTGAGATGTATATGGAATAGCAAAAGAAGGGGACGATGATGATTATGAAGAGGATGAAGGGGATGATCAAAGTAATGATGATGACCATGAGGATGATGATAAGGATGACAACGGTCATGATACCTACCATCATAGTCCATCGTAGCATCCTCTGCATTACCAATGCTGCCTCATGAAAGATGATGATGAGCGTGAGAACGGTCGTGAGAAGTATCATCATAGCATCCTCTGCAGTACCAACGCTGCCTAACGGCACGCTTAAAATATGAATATACAAAGGAAAGAGATGATGATGACCGTCAAGATGATGAACAAAAGAATCAGATGCTGATGACCGTCAAGAACGGCGCACTTGAGATGTATATAGAAAAGCAAAAGAAGGGGATGATGATGACCATCAAGATGATGAAGGCTGACGGTAACCGCCACGATGATGATCAAAGTGATGACGATGATTATGATGATGATAAGGATGCTAACGGTCATGATAGCTCTTCTATATCACCAATGCTGCCTCACAAGAAATACTGATGATCGTGAGGATGATGATGAGGTTTCTGACGGAGATGATAACAATCGTCTGCGTCACCAATGCTGCTTCATGAAAGAACTATCATCGTAGCATCTTCTGCATTAGCAGTGCTGCCTCGTGAGAGATGCGTGCGTATGATGAGAAGGATGAGGATGGTGATGATGACTATCGTCGTAGCGCGCTTTGCATTACCAACACTGCTTTCATATGAGATGAGGACTGTCATGATAACTATCATCGTAGCATCCTCTGTGACCATCAAGATGATGAAGGGTCATGATGATGATAAAGGTGATGATGATGACCATGAGGTTGATGTTATGGATGACGGTCGGTCTAACTACGTAGCATCCTCTGCATTGCCAATGCCGCCTCATAAGAAATATTGATGACCGTGAGGATGATGATGAGGATGATGACGTTGATGATAATTGTCATCGTAGCACCCTCTGCATTACGAATGCTGCCGCATGAAAGTGCTAAGGATGAGTAGATGATGAAGGGTGACGGTAGCCACCATGATGATGTTCAAAGTGATGATGACCATGAGGATGATGAGAAGGATGATAATGGTCATGATAACTACCATCGTAGCATCCTCTGCGTTACCAATGCTGCCTCATAAGAAATAATGATGATTGTGAGGACGATGATAAGGATGATGACGGTGATGATAACTATCGTCGTCGCATCCGCTGCATTACCAATGCCTCATGAAAGATGATGATGAGCGTGAGGATAAGAATGCTAAGGATGAGAACGGTCGCGATAAGTATCATTGTAGCATTCTCTGCATTACCAACGCTGCCTCACGGCACGCTTGAAATGTATATACAGAAGAGTAAAAGAAAGAGATGACGATGACTCAAAACGACGAAGCGTGATGGTAACCGCCATGAGGATCATCAAAGTGATGATGTGACGATGATGACAAGGATGGTAACGGTCATGACAACTATCATCGATGATGATGATGAGGATAATGACAAGATGATCACGGTCATGATAACTATCATCGTAGCATCCGGGATGCTGCCTCGTGAGAAACGCGGATGATCGTGCGGAGGATGAGAAGATCACCGTAGCACCCTTTGTATTACCAATACTGCTTCATATGAGACGATGGTGATCGTGAAAATTATGATGCTAAGGATGAGGGCTGTCATGATAACTATCATCGTAGCGTCCTCTGCGTTACCATTGCTGCCTAACGGCACACTTGAAATGTACATAGAAAAGGAAAAGAAACAAATGATGCTGACCATCAAGATGATGAAGGGTGACAGTAACCACCACGATGATGATCAAAGTGATGTTGATGACCATGAGGATGATGATAAGGATCATGACGGTCATGATAACTACCATCGTAGCATCCTCTGCGTAACCAATTCTGCCTCATAAGAAATAATGATGACCGTGAGGATGATCATGAGGATGATGACGGGGATGGTAATTGTCATCGTAGCACCCTCTGCGTCACAAATGCTGCCTCATGAAAGTGCTAAGGATGAGTAGATGATGAAGGGCGACGGTAACCGCCATGATGATGGTCAAAATGATGATGCTGACCATGACGATGATGACAAGGATGATAACGGTCATGACAACTATCATCGATGACGACCGTGAGGATCATAATAAGGATGACAACGGTCATGATAAATGATAACTATCATCGTAGCATGCTCTGCATTACCAACGCTGCCTCGTGAGAGACGCGGATGATTGCGCGGATGATGAGAAGGATGAGGATGGTGATGAGGACTATTGTTCGCAGCACCCTTTGCAGTACCAATACTGCTTCATATGAGACGATGATGCTCGTAAGGGTAATGATGCTAAGGATGAGGACTGTCATGAGAACTATCGTCGTAGCATCCTCTGCGTTACCATTGCTGCCTAACGGAACGGCGCACTTGACATGTATATCTAGAAGTTTAAAGAGAAAGAGATGATGATGACCATCAAGATGATAAAAGGTGATGAACAACCATCATGATGATGTTCACGGTGATGATGATCAGCACGAGGATGATGATAAGGATGAGAACGGTCCTGACCAATGCTGCCCCATAAGAGATGATGATGGTCGTTAGGATGATGATAAGGATTGAGGACTGTCATGACAACTATCATCCTAGAATCCTCTGCATTACCAATGCTGCTTCACACGAGACGATGATGATCGAGGATGATGAGAGTGATCGTGATGCCCATCATGACGATGATGACAAGGCCAGCGCTGGCTCTGAGCAAGCGCCACGCGGTGAGACAACTCAGCTTTGGCAGCTTGAAGTGTTGACTATGATCACAGCTGGTGTGGGTAAACATGAAAACAAGTGCGAGCGCACCTGTAACTTCCTATAGAATTCTGGGGTGACATCTCGACATGTCGCGCATGTGAGGGGTTCAGGCTTTCTGTCGTGGTGGAGCTCCGGCTCAGAACTCTTCTTTTCTGTGTGCGTCGGACCACCCAAAAGTTGCAAACAAAGCAACCGCAAACAAGGTGTTCCTATGACAAGTACAATTTGCAAGGTGTTCCTTGTTCCCTGGAATGCCTGGATGGAGTCTTGCTGCCTCGCGCTGGAGCCACGCCCCGAGCTGAGCGCAGGTAGTGCAATTCAATCCGCAGACCTTCAGCATTTCCCACATCTCGCAGCTCGAGAAGAGCAAATACATGGCCCGGCCCTTTGGATTTGAGATAGAATGTGCATCGTGTGCAGTGCGCGCAGTGAGTGAGGTTTCGTAACCCAGGATACATGGCTGGTGACTGCTCCAACCCCTGTAGGTTTTGGTGGACACACGCCGCAAGTGAGCTGCAAATCTGAGACGCGCTCTCCCAGCGGTCTAGCTGAAGCGTATGCCAGCCTTTCTGGCAGCCTGCCCGCCCCGCACAGGATCCTTTTTGAGCATTGAAGTATTGTTGTCATCGTGACCCAAACGTGAGAGTGGGATCCTTCAGGTGCCGGCTGTTTGAAACTTTTGAATTTGGGCTCACCGAGCACTGGTTCCGTTTCACAGCGGAGACACGCATTTCAGATGCGACTCCGGAACATGTGAGCGAATGTTGCCAGTCTCCTGTTCGTAGCACTATGGGATTGGGCGGAAACATTGACTGCGTTAATGCGAGGTCATTCTGAATATGGGCGCTTCTGAAAGTTAGGGATCTCATCCAGGTGGCAGTTGTTTTTGTTGAGGATTGCTGTTGTTCTGTTTGCCTTTTTTGTTTCTGGGTTTCTTGCTTTTGTGGCGTTTGCAGCTTTCAGTGGCTTTCTGCAGCCTCAGCTAAATCCAAGGCTACACCAACCCTCAACCCGCCTGACCCCCCCAAACCCACTCAAAACCAAAGGGCAGGCAGAAATGTGTCCTGGGCTGGCACAGTTTGCATGAAAACTGGGAGGGACTAACCATACTCTGTGATGCGATCATTAGCGCACAGCAACATTAGAAAGCTGCTCAGAGCAACAAGCTAGCCCCAAAGATCTAAATGACAAGCCCACTCCAATGCTGTATGTTGGGAAGCGCGGCCAAAGGAGAGACCTGAAGCCGAGAGCCACTCGTGTCCATGTTGCAGCCATGGCGTCAGCCTGGTGCCTCCCACATTGCCCCGAGGTGCAAAGGAAACAGACAGAAGACCGAAGCAGTGGGCGCTGTTTAGCCATGGAGATCCAGGATCATATGGAGCCTGACTGGTTGAACGTAGCCGACTCCCCTGAGGTGCACTTGGCAAGCGCAGTCCAAACTGCCCCAGATGACAAGGGCCAGCAAGGGAGCCTTGCGCAACTTGGCTCACACATGACTTAACGTACAATTTGTCACGTTTCAAAAGCTGCATCTGGGCCCGTGAAAACAAGGCTGTCTGCCACGACAAGAAAATCAACACCTTGCGCACTGTCATTCGCAAGCAGCATACTTCACAACCAGTTTGAGAGTGCTCAAGTACCAATGGTGCTAGCGAAGGCGCATTTCTACGAGATTTGACAGTGTGCCAATTTACAGTACTGCGTGCTCATGTGTGGGCAAGGCCGCCCACCACGTTGAACCAAAGAGCCTGATTTGATAGTTGGTAGCAGCTTGAACGGGCGCAGTGCTGTACCTTCCAACAGCAAGGCCAATCACTTTGTCGAGTTGTCGAACTACGACCAGCAATTGACAACATTGGTTGTCCAATTTTGAATGTTGGGGCTTGGTGCTCTGAGGGCTGTCAGCACGGGCAGGCTGTCAGGGCACACCCTGGAGCAGCAAGCTGCGGCAAGCCAGTGGATGACCCTCGGAAAGAGCCCAAGGAAGCCATCCCTGAACTGGAAGGGGAAAACTTGGGAAGCGATCGTCAGAATTTTGGAGAATTCGCCTGTCACGGTCACTGGCATCGCCCTGTGCCTAGTCGCGGCCTTGAGCCGCTGCTTCCCAGTTCGGCCCCGAGAGCCCCGGCAGATGGCATGCCGTGCTGCTCGGCAGTTCGGAGCACGGTGATCAGGTCCTCAATCCAGCTACTCTTTGCAAGGGACACTAGGAGAGGCAAGCCAGTCTTGATTTCATTTGCGCCGCAACAAGAACGAACAGCCTGCTTCCGGTTTTCAGTATGTTCCCTTTGCAGCATGAGTGTGTCATCCATATGCTTTTGTAAAGCTTGATCGGTGCAGACATTCCGCACAGTGCTTTCGCGTTGCTGCCTGAGGCCTTTGAGCAGCGAACGATCTGCGGAACAGAGACTGCACCGCACGGTCCCGATGACCGGTTCTGGGATCAAACCAACGACGAGTCCATTTCTCAAATGCACTCGATGTCAAAGCTTTTTGGACCGTAAGGGTTCAATCCAAGAAGACGGAACAAACAAGGGATCGGCAAGCAAATAAGCAAGCCTTAAACAAGGGTCGAGTGTCGTATTTCTGCTTGGGCTTGGTCTGGGTGTCCGCAGGGCAATGCAGGCATGATTCGTTGGTCCGGGTTTTGCGACCCGCGAAGGGCTCCATGAATCGCATCCAAAGGTTTGCCGCTGCTGACGTTGCGCTCTCGGGTCAAAAGCCGCCGGAAGCATTTGTGGACGTGGCATCAAGCACAGGCGCTTGCAAATCTGTCTGCTAGAGCTTGATTCCTCTACGGGCTTGGCAACTACGGTCGGCTTGACATGATGAGACAATTGCATTTTGAAAATCTTCTAGTTGGGATCCCGAAGTGACGTGTGTCTAGGAAAAAATGTGTGAAAGGTGACTGACCGCATGCATTTTCAGATGAGTCAATGTTATTCTATGGGCCCTTCGGGCACCTTTCCGACATTAGTGTGCTCCGTGCTAGGCTTGAAGAACTCGGGCAAGAATGTGAATCAAGGCCAGCGGTCACTGCAGCTGCACGTCCCTTCGACGCACAAGATGTGGACCCCTCTCTTTCCAGTTTTGCTGAAGCTCCGGCAAGATCGTTGAGAATGAATATCAGGCGTATGTATGTAAGTATATACATCATATATATATATACACATATTTCCCCCCCCCTAATGTCTACCTGTTTGCTCGTTTCAATGGTATTTGAGTGCCTTACGAAAATATATACAAATTCTACTTAGAAGCTGGACAAAAAACCATGAAAAAGGAAGTCCTCTTTAAAATCTAACTTGAAGTAAGTTGTTCACAGTTAACCATATTATTTGAAATCCTATGGACATCATCTCAAAAACTAGAATTATGTTCCAATATGTCACTGTTAATTTCTAGTTGAATTCCAATTAGAACATTGAACAACTCAATCCTAGAAAAGGAGACCCCTTTAAAATCCAATCTGAAATAGTCATTGCAATCTAACATGTCATTCTAAAGAAGCCAGTTTAAGTTCTTGTTGAAGAAACTCTGCTAGAACTATGTCCTTGCTAGACTCTATTTAGATTATGATCAACACATCAAAATTGAAAGCGCATTGGGGTCGCCTGACGTGCGCTATTTGAATTTGCCAGTTCAAGCCACTTCAGCCACTTCAAGTGGATCCAAGTGGCTCCAAGTGGCGCGTGCCGCTTCAAGTGGCTCTAAGTGGCTCCAAGTGGCACGCGCCGCTTCAAGTGGCTCCAAGTCGCTCCATGTGGCTCCAAGTGGTGCGTGCCGCTTCAAGTGGCTCTAAGTGGCTCCAAGTGGCACGTGCCGCTTCAAGTGGCTCAAGTGGCTCCAAGTGGCACGTTCTGTTTCAAGTGGCTCCAAGTGGCTCCAAATGGCTCCAAGTGGCTCTTGTCCAAGCGGCGCGCGCCGTTTCAATTTGCTCCAAGTATCCTACGGCTCTTCAAGTGGATCCAAGTAGACATGAAGTAAAGGGCCCCCTCCTAACAGGGTCCTCCTTTAAAGGCCCCAGCTGCAGGGTCGTTTCGAAAGACGTCCAAAAGTGTCCGATTCTGATTTTTTGAGAGTTGGCGTGCCCACTTTCACTGGTCATTCACGCTCAAATGGAACTGTGTCGCGTGGAAATGGGGTCGCTTCACGCTTTGTCACGCTCCAATTTTTGAACGGACGGTGTTGCACTTCAGGCCTTGTCATGATAACACAGCCTTAACTTATCAAACACCCACAAACACTCTTCATGAACAGCAAGTACAGTTATAGGGACGAGCCGGCTCAAGGAGACTTTCCATACTCATGAAGCACCTGTACGACCTTATGCTGTCACCTCGTGGTCTACCTCATGGACTACCACCACAACATCACCTTCTACATCCTCCACATCCACTTCCTCATCAAATACCTGTACGACCTCATGATGTATGACCTCATGAAGTACCTGTACAACCTTATGCTATACCACCTCATGAAGTACCTGTACGACCTCTGCCTCATGGACATCACCTTCTACATCCTCCACATCCACTTCCTCATCAAGTACCTGTACGACCTCATGATGTATGACCTCATAAGTACCTGTACGACCTTATGCTATACCATTTCATGAAGTACCTGTACGACCTCATGCTGTACGACCTCATGAAGTACCTGTACGACCTCATGCTGTACCACCTCATGGTCCAAGCGGTAAAAAAACTGAGCAGCCGAGCTTGCTGAACCGTTTTGCTGGAATGCATCTGCTGCTGCATTCCCTTGGGGCGCACATGGCGCAAACAAAAAAGCCGAGTTTTTGGAGTTCGTCGTAAAACTCGTGTTTTTTTCCCGAAAGCATCGCGAAAGGTTCTTCCGTGCGGTGCCCTTGGACAAGTTACATAGAGCCAAGTTACATAGAGCCAAGTTACATAGAGCCAAGTTACATAGAGCCAAGTTACATAGAGCCAAGTTACATAGAGCCAAGTTACATAGAGCCAAGTTACATAGAGCCAAGTTACATAGAGCCAAGTTACATAGAGCCAAGTTACATAGAGCCAAGTTACATAGAGCCAAGTTACATAGAGCCAAGTTACATAGAGCCAAGTTACATAGAGCCAAGTTACATAGAGCAAGTTACATAGAAGTTACATAGAGCCAAGTTACATAGAGCCAAGGTTAGGTAGAGCTTAGAGCTTCGGCGTTAGCAGCTATGTAAGTTAGTTTAGGTTTCTAAGGCGCCGGGGCGGGAGTTTGATCGTCGCTCGGGATTGCGACCCTCTGCGGAGATTCGCGTGGTCGAGGTTCAAAAACTGAGGACTTTTTACGATTTCTGCGGTGCGCGCGACCCTCTGCGGAGATTCGCCTGGTCGAGGTTCAAAAACTGAGGACTTTTTACGATTTCTGCGGTGCGCGCGCGACCCTCTGCGGAGATTCGCCTGGTCGAGGTTCAAAAACTGAGGACTTTTTACGATTTCTGCGGTGCTCTGCGGAGATTCGCGTGGTCGAGGTTCAAAAACTGAGGACTTTTTACGATTTCTGCGGTGCGCGCGCGACCCTCTGCGGAGATCGTGCGCGTCGAAGCGCTCTCGCTGTGGCGCCGTGCGAATTTGTCTTAGTCTCGGCGAACCTTCTGCGGAGATTGTGCGTGTCGAAGCGCTCTCGCTGTGGCGCCGTGCAATATTCTTGCTCGCGAAACGGCCTTTGGAAGTTGTCTCGTGGTTTGCGCGCCTGCTTTCGCAATCCCGCGGTCGCGGGTTCGATTCCCCCCTGGTCCGCGGCAGCTCCGGCTTGAAAATCGCAGCTTTTAAGTACAAACGTAGTACGCGGAGCGTGCTCCTGCAGCTCCGGCTGGAAAATCGTAACTTTTAAGTACAGACGTAGTGTGCGGAGCGTGCTCCCGCAGCTCAGGCTGGAAAATCGCAACTTTTAAGTGCAAACGTAGTACGCGGAGCACACCCCCGCAGCTCCGGCTTGAAAATCGCAACTTTTAAGTACAAACGTAGTACGCGGAGCGTGCTCCTGCAGCTCCGGGTGGAAAATCGCAATTTTTAAGTACAGACGTAGTATGCGGAGCGTGCTCCCGCAGCTCAGGCTGGAAAATCGCAACTTTTAAGTACAAACGTAGTACGCGGAGCACACCCCCGCAGCTCCGGCTGGAGAATCGCAACTTTTAAGTACAAACGTAGTACGCGGAGCACACCCCCGCAGCTCCGGCAGCACTTGCGCAGAGCAACTTGCGCAGAGTCACTTGCGCAGAGCAACTTGCGCAGAGCAACTTGCGCAGAGCAACTTGCACAGAGCAATTGCACAAAGCACTTGCGCAGAGCAACTTGCACAGACCAACTTGCACAGAGCACATGCGCAAAGCGCTTGCACGGAGCAACTGGCGCAGAGCCCTTGCGCAGAGCAACTTGCTCAGAGCACTTGCGCAGAGCAACTTGCACAGAGCAGGCGCAGAGCAACTTGCACAGACCAACTTGCGCAGAGCACATGCGCAAAGCGCTTGCGCGGAGCAACTGGCGCAGAGCACTTGCGCAGAGCAACTTGCTCAGAGCACTTGCGCAGAGCAACTTGCACAGAGCACTTGCGCGCAGCAGCTTGCAGAGAGCAACTTGCGCGCAGCAGCCTGGAACAATGCAGCTTGCGCAGACCACTTTCGTGAGAAATCGCGCGGCGCAGTTCGAGAGGAAAGTAGGATGATGAGATGGAGCTCTCATGTGACCATACACACTGAGCATCGCCGCGCGCAGACACGCTCGCCGCGGCGATGTAAAAAGGTGTCTCCGCAGCTGGATGAGCACCTGTGGAAAAATGCTTTCGGGCCAATCGTCCTCTAGTTTGCTGCTTCGGCAGCAGCCTTGACGGCTAGTTTCCCCGTCCCCGCGAAACCTAACTACGAGCCCAGGACCTATCCACGCTTGTACTTTCCACTCATTTTCGCAGACTTCGAGCCGCACGGGGAGGTCAAACATCGCTGAGCAATTTCCCGGACCTATCCACGCTTGTGCTTTCCACTCATTTTCACAGATTTCGAGCCGCACGGGGAGGTCGATGTCGTTGTCGTTGTCGTTCTTGTTGTTGCTGCTGCTGCTGTTGTTTTGTCGAGCCAGCAACTGCCTGTCGAAAAGGGGATACGTGATGCGGTTCCCACAGGCTCACCGCCTGTGCAACCGGACGGGCAGGCTGGCGTCGTCCGTTTGGTGATTCTTGTCGTTGTTGTTGTTGTTGTTGTTGCTGCTGCTGCTGCTGTTGCTGCTGCTGCTGCTGTTGTTGCTTTGTCTGGGCAGCAGCTGCCTATCGAAAAGGGGACGCGTGATGCGGTTCCCACAGGCTCACCGCCTGTGCAACCGGACGTGCAGGCTGGCGTCGTCCGTCTGGTGATTCTTGTCGATGTTGTTGCTGTTGTTGTTTTGTCTGGCCAGCAGCTGCCTGTCGAAAAGGGGATACGTGATGCAGTTCCCACAGGCTCACCGCCTGTGCAACCGGACGGGCAGGCTGGCTTCGTCCGTCTGGTGATTCTTGTCGATGTTGTTGCTGTTGTTGTTGCTGTTGCTGTGTCGCGTAGGGCGCAAAATGGCGCAAAATGGCGGGCTGCCAGTAGCCGCCTTTCTGGCTGTATCGCACGCGCCTGCCTCTTCCCAAGGCTTGTGCTCACCCCATACCTGGCCGCGCCCAAAGCTGGCGTCGTCCGTCTGGTGATTCTTGTCGTTTTGTTGTTCTTGTTCTTGTTCTTGTTCTTGTGTTCTTGTTCTTGTTCTTGTTCTTGTTCTTGTTCTTGTTCTTGTTCTTGTTCTTGTTCTTGTTCTTGTTCTTGTTCTTGTTCTTGTTCTTGTTCTTGTTCTTGTTCTTGTTCTTTGTTCTTGTTCTTGTTCTTGTTCTTGTTCTTGTTCTTGTTCTTGTTCTTGTTCTTGTTCTTGTTCTTGTTCTTGTTCTTGTTCTTGTTCTTGTCTTGTCTTGTTCTTGTTCTTGTTCTTGTTCTTGTTCTTGTTCTTGTTCTTGTTCTTGTTCTTGTTCTTGTTCTTGTTCTTGTTCTTGTTCTTGTTCTTGTTCTTGTCGTTGTTGTTGTTGTTGCCGCTGCTGCTGCTGCTGCTGCTGTTGTTGTTTTGTCTGGCCAGCAGCTGCCTGTCGAAAAGGGGATACGTGATGCAGTTCCCACAGGCTCACCGCCTGTGCAACCGGACGGGCAGGCTGGCTTCGTCCGTCTGGTGATTCTTGTCGATGTTGTTGCTGTTGCTGTTGCTGTTGCTGTGTCGCGTAGGGCGCAAAATGGCGCAAAATGGCGGGCTGCCAGTAGCCGCCTTTCTGGCTGTGTCGCACGCGCCTGCCTCTTCCCAAGGCTTGTGCTCACCCCATACCTGGCCGCGCCCAAAAACAAATTGTTTCGGCCCGAAAAATCGTTTTTGCGGCGTCTCTGGCTGCCTCGCTCGCTCCCGCCTCTTCACCCCAAGCCTGGCTGGCGGTGTCAAAAAAGAATTCGTTTTGCACGACAGGTCCGAGATTCGATTTTCCCACGGGACAAAGTTGAGTACGACACATTTGCCGCTGAACCAAGGCCGGCTTGCTCACAAGCGGGGCTGAAAGCCCCCTTTTCCCGTCTGGCCGCTCGGTCTTCAAAATCCGGCTGGGCCAAAAACAATTTATTTCGTGCCGAAAAATTGTTTTTCGGGGGGTCAGCTCCAGGTTGCCCTGGCAGCCCGCCTAGGCTGCCCAAGCCCGAGGGTGTGGTCTATCCACAACTGCCTTTTCAAGTTCCTTGTTTGTCTTGTCACCCATTACCGTTTCAAACCTATCCATGCACGGCTTCGTCTTGCTGTCCACCCACGACGTGCTATTTGCACTTTCCCGTCCTCACATGGAAGACGAATCCCATCAAATCTCATCAGTTTAGGTGCAAATCGCATCAGTTTAGGTGCAAATCTCATCAGGTGCAAATCTCATCAGGTGCAAATCTCATCAGGTGCAAATCTCATCAGTTTAGGCGCAAATCTCATCAGTTTAGGTGCAAATATCATTAGTTTAGGTGCAATCTCGGTGCAAATCCCATCAGTTTAGGTGTGGAAGGGCAAATCCCATCACCTTTGGGCAAAGACGTCCAGAATCCCTTGTTTCAAAGCCCTGGAAGGTCACCTTTGGGCAAGGACTAGACGTCTCCTTTTCAGAGCCCCTTGAGGGGGCAAATCCAGGTCTGGGCCATTTCTGTCTCGAATTGAAGTTCAGAAGCTCTAGAAGCGATGGCGTCTTCTCCAGAGACCTCTCTACGCAAGCGAGCGGCAGCAGCAACGCTCGAAGAGCTGGAGTTGCAGGCCAGCTTTTGGAATAGCTGACATAGAACCCGGTTGCTGTAGGGTGCCCTAGATTCCAAATGCATTTTTGCGTTGCGGGGGGTTTTTGTTCGCCGGGATAGTAGAGTTGCCTCGGTGATAGATCTTGATCTGCTCGGGCAGATTCTTCCTTCTGAGGCGCGCAGTTGAACTTGTTTGGTTGGCTGCGGTGAGACGGCAGGTCATCCGCAACGCAGAGGGTGTTTAGGGTTTTTGCGGGGCTGAAGGACAAAGCCCCAGAAGCGGCAGCCACCGCAGAGGCGCGCATGTTTGGTTGGCTGCGGTGAGATGGCAGGTCATCCGCAGTTGCAGCATGTTGCAGAGGGTTTTAGGGCTTTGCGGAGCTGAAGGACAACGCCCCAGAAGTGCATGCCCCCGCAGAGGCGCGCGGTTGAACTTGTCCGGTCGGCGTCGTTGCTGCGGAGCATTCCATTCTGAGACAGGCCTCCCTGCGCAAACTGTCCTTGCAGCAGTTGAGAGAGATGGCCACGAAGATGAAGGTTTCTAAGAAAGGCACCAAAAGCGAGATCAGGGCAAGGCTCCAGGCGCAGCTTGCGTTGAGTTGCGCGTTGGTTTGAGAGGGTGCTTTGCAGTGTTTTGTGTTGCGCATCTGGTGTCCGCAGTTGCGCTGAGGCTGCTTCTTTTAGTCACACACACACACACACTCGCTGGAGGCAAGGCAGACCCAGGCCTGCTCAACCAAGGGGGCAGGAGCTGCACCTGCGTTGGCGATGCCTTGGCATTAGCGATAGCCAGTCAACAATGCCTTGTGCCGGTCCTAAGGACGAGCGACGGGGAGCGCAGGCAATTGCTCATGTGGAGGCGCGGGTGTGTCACAATGGAGGGGTGGGCCTCCATCCAATCTCCACACTGCGCGCCCGTTCCAGGCTATCGCCGAAAGCCAGGTGGATAAAGAAGCTCCAGTTGACCTCACGTCGCCAGGTGGCTGGTCTCAAGAAGGCCCAGTGAGCCGTGCGACCCGAAACTTGCAAGTGCAAGTCAGCAAGCTCGAGCCCAGCAAGCGTGGTGGGCGCAGTGCAAAGATGGCTGATAAGCCAAAGCCGAAGAAGCGAGCTGAGCCTGTGTGTCTGGACGACAGCGACTTCGGTGGGCGCAGAGCAAAGATGGCTGATAAGCCAAAGCCGAAGAAGCGAGCTGAGCCTGTGTGTCTGGACGACAGCGACTTCGAGATCTCGCGCTGCTGGCTGCAGGCCCATGCCAAGAAGTTTGCCCAAGACTTGCATGAGAAAGAGGACTTCACTGGAAACCGCGTCAGCTTTTCCAAGAACTCCTTGCTGGCGTTGCAGATGTCCCTTGAGATGTTTGTTCCTTAGTCCGCAAGCAGATTCAACACGCGGGATGGTGGTGGAAGGGGCAGGTTGGAATTAGCCCCGCAGCCCTCTGCGTTTTGCGTTTGCTGGGTCCCACAATCATGGAAGTGCAAACTTTTTCAGTGCGTTGCGTCCAGGTAATCCGCGGGGAACTGGGGGACACTTGAAAAGGGTTTCGTAATCATTGCACCTACATGTGTTTCAGTCTGAGTGCCAACCCACTGCTAATGCGGCAGCTTACACACACTGCAACAGGAAGTTTTCCGCGCCCAAGTGAACACCAATTTTGAAGACCCTCCCATTAACATGTTGAAATTCCAACACTCCACTTTAAGCATAGAATTCTTGCACGGCTTGCGGGGGAGGATTTGAGTGACCTTGACAGGTTCAGTAGGCCTGCCGTCTGCAACCAGGGTCCTATGTTGCACGTTCCGTTTTGGGAAGGGAAGAGACACCTTTTCAAACATCATGATTGCGCACGTTTGAGAAGTTTTGTGTTTTTGCTTTGGCGCAGAATTGGGATATGGAAGAGTTTCAGGAAAATGAGACTTGAGCTGCGAGGAAAGAACTTGTGCCATTTGCGGTGTTGGTGAATGTTGGTGCGCCAAGCGTTTGTGGACACGGCTCGCACAATTTTGAAGCTCGCAACAAGTAGAAGCTAATGTGAAAACACATACACATCGCAACATAAACACGCTTTTTTGCCATGCAGTTTTGTAAATGGGCTAAGTTCTTGGTGTTGCGGGCTAACTTGTGTGCCATGGGGGTTGGCCACGGTGGGCCAAGTTCTTTAGAAATCTGGTAAGTTTCCCGGCGGGTCGTAGATATTGAGGAAATATCATGGTAAGGTTTCAGCAGCCATTTTCTGTTTTAGTTATGGCAGTAGAGTCCACTTGCTAGCGCGAAAAAAACCAGAGACTAGCGAAAGACTTATAGAGACTGAGGCGCAGGAGTGGATGACAGACTGCGCCCTATTGGCGCAGACTGCGCCCTATTGGCGCAGCACGGAAAGCGCACCACGGTGTGCAAGAGTGATCTCGCGCTCTCCTTGCTGATGCGCAACGAGGGCTGGGTGGGCGGCAAGCGCAAGGAAATTCACGAGGAGGTCGAGGCGGCGCGCGCTCAGAACAAGAAGCTGCGGAAAAGCCAGCGTGACTGCGCCTTGCCCAACGCAGATTTTTCTGATGCTTCTCCTTGACATTGGTTTGATCGCGAAAAAGGTGGTCGAAGGTCATTTGGGCATAAAGCCTTCAAAATTCCCTATGACCGTGTCCGTCCCAAATGACCGTGAAAATCCCACCCTCTTGTTTGCCGCAGATATTTGCTGTGCCTCTGTCGGTCGCTTGGAGTCAGAGAAAAAGCTAGAGCGTGCTTGTGTGCGTGAGCGTGTTATGTTATGTGTATGTACGGGCGCGCGTGTTTGTGTCTGTGTGTTTTGTGTTGGCACGTCTACACCAACGCATACTCATAAAACGAGAACCCTGATATTCAAAGGGCCATAAGAAGCAAGGCCTTCATAGAAAGGGCCTTTGTGTATATGGCTGTTGGAGTGGGGGTTTGGTGGCGGTTCACGAGGTCTCAACATAGCATTGGTGTTGGTGCTTGTCACGGGGGCTTTGTATCTTGAAGTTTGTCGCCGTCCAAAGGGCTTTCTAGCGAGAGAGAGAGAGAGATAGGCATCGCTTTTAACTTAGTTTCATATTGAAGGCTTGGCTAGCTCTGAGCGTGTTTAAATAACTTACTCTTCTTGACTGCGAGCAACGAAACTAGCTTGCCATTCCATTCACAAAGAATTGCAGCCTTTTCAGCAGCAAGAACGCTAAGGCAACGCAATTGGATATATGTATGATGCGGGGTTTGCTTGAATTCGCTTCCATCCGTGCTGCGAGCGCCAGGCAAAGGCTAGTGGTTAGGTTATCGTAGGCGTAGTTCCACGAAGGCAGTGCCTGAAGAGGAGGCGCTGCTTATGTTTAACATGAGCTGCACATTGGTGCTATATCGGGCTGTCAAACCTGCCAGCCTACCCTTACTCCACTCCTGAATTGTCCTTCTGCCCCACAGTGCAGTTTTTTGATTGATTTGTACAAAGCCCGTCGACGCGATGCGAGCGACTGCAACAACCAAACCCACCCGCACAGGGGCCTGCCTGCCTCCTGTGGTCAGTTGCGCTGGTGCTTGCAACTTTCACTGCTTTGGGAAGGGTCAACGGTTCCTCCACTGCTTGCCTTTTGGGCGTTGCTTGTGCGCAATGCGTTTGCTTTTTCCGCGTTTGCAACTGCATCGCCATTTGCAAAGATGTCCGTCTTTCAGCTGTGTGCCGGCCTGGCGGATCAAAATGGACAAATAATAACGATAATAAGCATTTTCCTTGCAGTGAACAGACGTGAGTGCACGTACGTGAGCCATGTTTGGCAAACCAGTGTCTAGTTTCAGCCAGAACTTAACGAGCAGGGAGCCAAGCTACGAGTTCACGCCTAAAAATGGCCGTTTACGCCCTAAACAGGCCTTTCACGGTAGTTTCACGCTTGTTTCGCGGTGTTTCACGCTTCCTAGTCCCGAAGGTTGTGGACTGAAGATGCCGCTGCGTCCAGGGCGCTGTGTCACATGAGTGGTTGTCTAGACTTGCCCTGCTGGCATGCTTCAACTCAAGAGAAGCATGTGCATTAAAATGTGTGAGCCCACAAAAATATGTGACGTAAGCAATAAGGGTCACTAGCTGACACACTGACTGCGTGGGCCTTAACATGAGCCACATTCAGCTGTTCTCCTGGCCAGAGTCATTTGGGTTGCGAGTCTGCCAGTTTGCTGATTTCAGGTCGTCTTGGGAAGTCAAATGCTGCAAGGAACCTCACAGTTCAAGCCACGGACTAAGCTACTACAGTTGTCACGACACGTGCATTGCTTTGTGTGAAGTGGCGGGCAAGTACGATTGATTCACGTCACTGGCATTACCAACAAAGTACTATAGTACTAGACTGGTTTTAACTGAATTTGAACACGATGTTTGCCATGACCGACCTTTCTAGACGCAAAGGGCTGGAATATGTAGTTGTTTAACGTTTGTTTTCTAGGTTGTTTGCTGGGCCGCTCCTATATGTATGTATTTGCCCAACGTGCTGGCCTGAATATTCTGCCTGTTTATGCTAACCTTCTTTCACATAGTTGATGCTGTTCCGGAAATTCCGACATCGTGCTAATTGTGACTGTCACCCTGGTCTAAGTACAGAAGTTAACATGTGAAGCTTCGCAAGTCTTGCAATGGCAAGAAAACAACGTTTATGCGTCAAACAAGGCTCACTCAAACATCAAGAGGGCGAGAGACAGAATGATGGGAAAAAGTGTTTCTAAAGAGCAGCTGCTAGAAGTTCCATGCCAAAATAGTACTTACAAGATTGACAATTTGCAAACAAAGGCCTTTACAGGCCTAGAGAGGCCGAGCCGGAAAGGCCTTTGTTTTTAGGGCCTCCGACCCCCAGGGAAAAGCGTTTTTGAAGTGTTTCTCACGGTTTTTTACGGATTTTCACGGCCTAGTCACGGATTTTCACGGCCTTTTCACGATTTTTCACGCGAAGCGCGTGCCAGCAAAGGAAGGCTCAGTCAGCGTGTGTTGGAGGCTGCTCTTCCTGCCAGTTGGGAAAGTAAGGCCACCTGTGTAAAGATACGTGTTTGCAGCTGCCCTCAAAACATGAAAATCGCATATTATACGAACATATTAACGTCTTAAGATCTTAAATTGCGGAAATCTTAAGAACTTAAACTCTGAAGACCTTACACTATTAAGATACAAAACAAAGTCGGAAAATCTTAGAATCGTACTAAAATGTTAAACTATTAAAATGTCAACTTGCGTAATTAAGGGGTTCTGACAGCAATTAAGGGGGCACCCCGGTAATTAAGGATTTTCAAGCGGAACAACTTCTCAAAATGCCCAAATCCCATTCCAGGCTACAGCAGCTGCAATCTTTTTTCCGCTCCCCATCTCAGCTTGTGAAAGCGGGCTGCTTTCAGCCGTCAAAGGCCCCAATGCCCATTTGGGCCGTCACGTTCGGAAGAACTCTGTCAGGGTGCTAGCTTTGCCACCCTTCTCATCTGCACCCTTGCCTGCACGGGCGCAGACAAACCGATTGTTGCTGATTTGCACGGATTCAACAACAAAAAGGAGGTGGTTTGACGTGATGGAGCCCTTTGAAAACAACAGCAACATTTGATTGATTTTACCAGCGCCCCCGACAAAAACTTAGAGGGGTGGACTAAGGGGTTCTGATTGAAATTGACCGAAAAAACAACAACAGCTTTGTGAAAATCACATGTAAAAGTCACACCGGCCAAGATCCTTCTTTTTGAGCGAGACTTCTAAGAATAAATCCTACCAACATAAAGCAAGTGCGCCTCGCGCGCGCTTGGCCGTCGGCTCCGCTTTGGCTTTTGGCCCCGTTTTGGCCTTCGGCTCCGCTTTGGCCTTCCCCTTTGCTTTGGCCTTTGCAGATGCCGCCGCCGGCAGGTCGTCCTTCGCCTTGTCTTTGCGCTTCTTCTCTTTGGTCTCCTTGCGCTCCTTCTGTTTGTCCTTCTTCTCCTTCGTCTCCTTCTTGTCCGACTTGTGCTTCTCCTTCTTCTCCTTTTTGTCCTGCTACGTGATGAGCCAAGTGGCAGGGTAGTGACACAGTGACACAGCGGCCCAAACAAACAGTCCTTCTTTTTCTTCTCCACCGCCGGCGCCGGCGCCTCCTCATCAGTGTCCGAGTCCATGATCTGCGCCTCATCCTAGCGCGGAACTCCAATAGCGACAGGGGGAAACGCATCATGTGAACCACTCTGAGTTTGATGCGAGCGCAACGCAGAACATGTGAGCCAGTCACGGCGCTCCATTTGGTTACAAACTACAGGGTCAAGTTCCAAGTGTCAGGGTTGCCGTTGCCTGCTAGGCACTGCTAGGGAAAAAAAGGTGATAATAGGGTTTAATAGGGGCTCCTGATCCTGCATCGAGGTAGCACTGTAATTCCCACTTCGTCGCAGAGCCGTGGCCTCGACGTCCGCAAGCGCTGCCTGCTCTGCGCTACGCGCAGCAGCCGCCAAGGAAGAAGAAGCTGCAGCTCCCCCATCCTTGCCTTCTGCATCCTGCCGGAACCCAGCGCGCCAGTGCTCAGCAAGGATACCCGAGAACCGAGCTATGCGATACTAGCGTTACGCGTCATTTAGAAGACACTCCGATCCGCAGTGCACCGCGGGCGTCATGAGCCGTGCATGTCCGCAATTCGATCAGACTACGAGCCAAAAACGATACGACCCCAAAGCGTTTGTTGGCGCATTGTATCCCTTGACAGGCACGTTCAGCAACGAATTTAGGACAGGGCGCTGGAAGCCGCATTGTGAAGAGGAAGTTACATGCGAGCGCCCGGCGCGCCGGGCCCCGGGTGCCCGGCGCGCCGGGCCCCGAACCCGCTCGGCGCCCGGCCACACCACAACTGCACGCATCAGGCATCTGGGAGCTGGGGGGAAGGCAGCTAGCCGGTCTGACATGCGTCAGTCCTGGCACGCCTGGGCGGGGCCCGGGGCCCGGAGCCCAGCACGCGGGACGCCGGGCCCGGCGCGCCGCAGGGGAGACCGGCCAGCTTCCTTCCCACCAGGTCCCAGATGCCTGTGCAGTCGTGGTGCGCGCCGGCCCCCACCCCCCGGCGCGGCGCCCGGCGCGCCGGGCCCCGGCGCCCGCGCCGGCGCGCGGGCCCCGGGCGCCCGCGCGCCGGTCCCGGACGCCGTAGTCTTCGTCATCCCGTAGTCTTCCGTCATCTTCCGCAGTCTTCTGTCAGCTTCCCGTCATCTTCCCGTAGTCTTCCGTCATCTTCCCGACATCTTCCCGTAGTCTTCCGTCATCTTCCCGTAGTCGTCCCAAGCGGCGCGCGCTCCGGAGCGCGCGCCCGCGCGCCCGGCCCGGCGCACCCGGCGCCAGCGCGCCGGGCCCCGGGCGCCCGGCGCGCCGGGTCCCGGGACGTCATCTTCCCGTAGTCTTCCGTCATCTTCCCGTAGTCTTCCGTCATCTTCCCGTAGTCTTCCGTCATCTTCCGCAGTCTTCTGTCAGCTTCCCGTCATCTTCCCGTAGTCTTCCGTCATCTTCCCGTCATCTTCCCGTAGTCTTCCGTCATCTTCCCGTAGTCGTCCCAAG